CATCCCTGCTGCTGATTACATGGAACCATGCGGAAACTGTGCGACACAGGTGTTCATTGGTGACTTTATGGGAATGCGATTGCAAAGCAGAGGGAATTTCAGTCCTCGTGCATCGTGCTATGACGAAGAAGGTGTGTTTCTGCATTGACGACGCATGTCTGCCTAGCTTATACACCCCTTCCATCAGGATACATGTGTCTTCTTCTTCACCACCACCACCACCAACAACACCCCACGCCGTTAGGTACAATCTGAATGCTTCCAGCACACGCCAAGGCACTTCCTCGACAAGCGCGGGTCGTTTTGCCATTGGCCTGCTGCCGTAACGCACGACACAGTCATACAACATCATCACCGACAAGCATCTTTCCCTACGCCAGACTGCGTACCTGCGCAGTGCACTCACACCAGGTCGCAAGAACCTCTTCGAGGCAATTCATCGTTTCCCGTCGGTCGCGCATTCGGGCGACTTGCAGTTTCGAGTCAATTATCGTGCTCGTCACACTGTTACTCATCCATCGCGATCCCCCGACGATTGCTGTGCTGCATCTCGCTTGGACGGGGCCGTTTTCCGTGGACCGCCGGCGAGGGCAATGCTGGGCGTGCAACACGAATGCCTGCAAGCCATGTGCGAGCGCAAACTCCTTCTGGGCAGCGTTGCAACCTGCTGTTCCACATTTGGAGGCCGCCCCGTGGGCTTGGGTCGTCTGAAGCAGCGAATAGGGCTGCGTAGGTGGCCAAGATGCTGTTTCGAGCCCACCGGGGGATACAGTGCATGGCAGTGCGTTTGAGCCTTACCCGCCCATATGCCTGCTACGTCGCGCGGGGGAACTCTACACCCATGCCCGACCGTTGGTGCCTGGAAGCTGGAAATGGTGTTGAGTTTGGAGCATTGTGTACGCGGCAGTCGCCGACGTGTGCAGCCCGATCATGACACGGTATGAGTCTTCCGGTACTACTACTTTCAGCGCACAATAATCAGCTAGAGGCACTCCAAGGCCTTTATTGCGATAATGCACAGTGGTTGTGCCTTGGTTTGGTTTAGCTGCCGCTGCCATACACCAAGTTGGTCGGAAACGCCTCCGAGATGGTATACGTCGATGCAGGAACAGAGTTCGCGCAATGCGGTACGTGGGCTGAAGACGAGGGTTGTGTGCACCAGGGCTGTGAAGCAACCTTGGAACGAGTGAGCGGCGACCGTACGACTAGTTCCTTCTTGGGTGTTATCGCGACTGGCTGATCCGAATTTCCGTCAACCTTCACTCTGCTCCCGCACAGAAAGTAGCCACTGCAAATCATATCAACCCAGCATTCGGACAGCGACATACTCGAAGACGCCCAGAACCTTGACCAAGCCTCAATCAGCCTTATCCGTATACTGGTACGTCCTATCAGGACAGATCCTATACCGTTTGGAAGCAACAAATGCAAGACTTGGCCAATACAACTTGCATAGACGCTCACGTTCTTTCGGCTTCCCGTTCCACTCGGCATCGGGACAAGCGCCACACTCGCGTGACGGAAGCAGGAAGGATGTAAACGAGCGAGTATGCGTCACGGCATCCCGGCAACGTGGATAAGAAGTTATGATGCATTGCGGCAGCGCAAACCCCTGGCACTATCTATGGACTCCGATTACGATCGGTACCCAGGGGAGTGGGAGCCGGTGATGAATGGATCACCGAAGCGGATGAATGCGATTTACCGAAGCACAAGGCTGAATGGCAGGCATACTCGATCGTACAGCACGCGTGCTTTATCGCTATCGATTAACGAGCCAGACGATTGGCGGACGCCTCGGAAACATATGATGTTACATCGGAGGACGACACGGGCAGTATTGGCGACAGAGGGCTATACAACACACCCGCAACAACATTGCACATATCGCCGACTATCCTCTCTCACATGAAGACGCATACATCGCCGACACGAAGCTCTACGCGCCCACCTCGCAACATGTCTACTCGGCTTGACTCTTGAATACAAGAATATCTGCAGATTCGCTTCCGCCTACACAGCCCCCCAAAAATAGGACTTTAAACCATACCGATCTTGCACTCCTGCACTCTTCAAACAAGCGCGACAACCGCTTGTAGGGCTGACTGAGCCGTCATGTCAGCGCATTCACCCGATTAGGTATTTCCGCGTAGCTTTCGAGCCGAGCTAGCTCATTGGCTGGACCTGCAGTAGCACGGATGTATTTTGGGACAGATGTCAGCTGAAGCCATTTTGCCTATCTGAGGGTATTTGGGAAGATTGAAGTCAGATGAAGAGCGGATTTGGGTTATTTTGGGGCCTAGAAACTACTGGATCGGGATGTCACATGTGGATTACGAATCCTCTATCGACATTCAGTGAAAGAGCGAAGAAGTAAAACTCATCGGTGTTGTAGGAACTCAGCTTACGATCTCGGACATAGAACGACGCACGATGCTAACACGTACTCGGTCTGGTAGAGAGATGTGGGAATTGCACTAACGAAATACTAGGTATCCGTCTCACAGTACAGCTTCTGGTTCAGCATCGCAAGCAACCAATCTTCCTGGACTAGGAAAGAACGTTCATCGTGCTTCCCAGAATTGGTACCGCGTCCTGATATGCGCACCTACGGAGTTCTGGTGTGACGCAGTTCCAAATGAAAGCGACGAGCGACTACTTCCCAGTAAGCATCCATGCTCAACAATGATGTGGACGTCGAACGTCTGTGTGAAGCATAACAGAAACACAGGGTTTTCAATTCTACCCCATGGTAAGAACGCTATCAAATTAGAGACTCTTCGAGAGACGATGCACACGCCCTACGTAATTTGGTGGCTTGGTGCCAGCGCAGCCCTACATAACGGTCCACTAGGCGAAGGACAACGACGCGAAAGACTATTCAATTCCCAAGATATCCTTTGTTCTGGCCTTACAAACAAAGCGGTGACTGGCTTTAAGTTCACGGCTGTTCCCGAGATAGCGGATGATTACGTTGCTGCTGCGGAGAAGACTTGGCGTTGTGTGGTTCGGGCCTTCACGATGTAGCCCGCAAGGTAGGAGTGACTGCTGCAAAATCGACCCAAAAAGCACATAGCCACGTCGCACGTCAAAGCCATCCATCCAGGTCGGTCCTTTGCGCGTTCGAAGAAACCTGCTGTCGCTCCAACGCGCTCAGGCCAACGCATCATCATCATCACCGATCCAACTGGGCAGACCTCCAGCAGTCGACAAAACACCAGAACATTACGGATATCGGCAATCACTATGGGACGTTCCTGCCTTTCATAGTCCACCGTGTGGAAATTGCTGCGCCACTTGTTTGCGCCACGCGTCCTGGCAGGGATTGATGATCTCATACCCAAGCGAATGCGCTAAGAAACCAGTGATCTGCACGGCTATGCGGCCTGCACAGCACTAGCCACACTGTCTTTGGAGACAAGAAACATGCGTGACTGACGAGGCCCAGGGGTACCAAACCCCAGGAGTGTGACCGTGGATGTTCTTGGATGCCAAGGCTAGCTACGCAATGGTCGTGGCTGACGTTTGCTGTCATGTCTCTTGACCAAGCAAGGCACAGTCGTAGGTGCCGGGTGTATATATACTGGCAGCTTGAAGTCAATACACTCCACATCCACAGCTTCATAACATTCTGAGTACTGCTTCTTACCAGCATCGCACTTGACGTCTTGACTGCTTTTAACGATACCCACACTTACCGCCAACATGCTCTTCACACGTCTCCTCTCGATCATCCTGCGCACAGCGCAATGGGTCTTCGCAGCCATCGTCCTCGGTCTCACAGCATACTTCCTCTACCAACGTTCTCGATACGACCAGGGGCCTCTAGGCCGATTGATCTTCTCGGTGATCTGGTCTTCGCTGTCCATCCTCTTCGCAGTCATCTGGGCCATCCCCACGAGCTCTAGCATCACTGGCTACACATCCGACTTCAGTAAGTCCTCTCAACTCTATTACCATGATCCATTCATCTACTAACAACTTCTGCTTAGTCTTCACCGCCGGTTGGGCCGCTGTCTTCGGACTCCTCGTCAGTTGGTTCAACGGCTCCGGATGTGGTAGCGCGTGGGCTTGGGGCGGCGTGTCTTTCCGTCGCGACAACTCTTGTGGTCAATGGCAGGCTGCTCAGGCTTTCTCGTTCTTGTCTATGATCCTTTGGTTCGCGACTGGCGTACTTGGTATTTTGACGGTGCACCGTCTTAACCGCAAGGCTGCTGCGTAAGTTTTGTGCTAGTGTTCTGTGGGGATTGCGCTAACGGGAATGCAGTCGTGGCTCGCACGTCTAAACGCGATTGCCTTACCTACGAGGGTTGATCGACCAGTACCATAATTTTGCCATACGAAAACAGCTTGCACGAACGAGATGCCGCTGTTCGGCGGTGGGCTTTGGGTTGGGCTGTCGGAAACAGTATCAGGATGATTTGCTAGCAACTTTGCTCGAAACTCCCTCTTCTTATGAACTAATGTCTATATCCCAGCGAGCGAGGAGTTATTCTGCTTTTGTTTCCTTTGTTTAATCTTAAATCCTTGCCTGTACGATGTTGGCATTTGCCTTTACCAAGTAATAATTTACATGCATACTGCAACGGAGTACAATGCAACCGTGAAAACTCTCCGACATATTCTGCCTACATTTTTGGCGCTTACTGCGTTGAAGTCGGGGCAAGATGTTGTTGCTCTTTGTAAGTAACCTGACTTGGCGTTAGCAGCCAACTCGAACTCCAGTAATCATAAGTCCACCGTGGTTAGAGCCTCTATTTGTCTCCTGATGCAAGTCTTGCATTCTTGAATTGAACTAGTGACATGTCAACGTACTTCGAGATCACGTAGCTCGCCTTGACACAAGGAAAGATCTTCACAGGTCTTTTCACAACAGCAAGGAGCCGCATTCACTTAACAAGAACTAGTCCATAATCTGGCAAGCGTGAAGGGGAGTGAGAGCTCACTGTAACACTGTTTTCTCTCGTGCGCGGGCAACTTCTCTCTCCCACTTCGATAAAATGGTACGCCCCTCACTGACTTTACTACACCATCGACTACCCACTACCATTAACTATCAACTCAACACGACCTATCAGCGCTCGAGATCGAGTCTCAAGATCAACAACCTTATGCAATTCAATCCCACGAACATCGTTCCACCCACCATGTCTGAGGATAGCCCCCGAACCAGGAAGATGGGTCAAGTCTTCACGGGCATCCATCGTCGGCTTTCCAGCTTCGGAAACTCCACAAGACCGGCCAAGGCCGCCACCGAGACGTTGTCGGCGCTCGCGGACGAAGCCTTTTCTTCCCATTCGTCGTCAGCATTCAGCTCGGTCAAGAGCGCGCCCCAACGTCGAAACGATGAGCGTGACACTCGGCTCCTTTCCCTGGACAAGCTTATGAGCGGTACCATGATAGCCGAGAAGAACAAGCTCTGGTTCGAGAAGCTCAACGTCGCCGTCAGAACTCTGATGAACTCCTCAGACTATGACCCTTCACACGATTACGAGCACATACAGCGAGTCGTCCTCAACGCGCACCGCATCTGGAGCGCCGAGAAGCATCGCGAGGAGTTCCGCAACATCGACCCCCTAGTCATCTACGTCGCGGCTCTGGTACACGATGTCGCGGATGACAAGTACCTGACCGATGAATTGACGGTCGAACTACAGAGGGAGGTGACAGACCAGGACAAACAGGTGCGGCAGAGAGACGCCATCGAAGCATTCATCAAAAAAGCTGCCCCAGAATGCCCACCCTACATTTGGGGTCCTGCGACACACATTGCATCTCTGGTCTCTTTCACACGTGAACTGCGCAAACCCGAACTCATTGCTCAGCAGTGCATGGCGTATCCTGCTCTCCAGATCGTCCAAGATGCCGATCGTCTTGATGGCCTAGGTGCGTTGGGAATTGTACGTGGTGCAGTGTACGGGGGCGCAAATCAGCCGCGTGGTACTGGTACGGTCCGACGGGTCTGCCAAATAGTTGACGAGCGTCATTCTCAGTATGTAGAGATGATGAAGACCCGTACGGGTAAGAAGGAGGCGAGCAAGCGCTGGGACGCGATGGAGGAAATTCGCGACCAGATTGTGCAGCAGGCAGACTGCAGGAGCGTGCTGGAAGAGAACTGAGCCTGGGAAAAAGACTGGGGATGGGAAGTGATGCCCGTAGAAGATTACTAGATGGTTGCCGTTGTAGCGAAAGTCGTCTTTGGTATCGTCGCGTTCTTCCTGGTGTATACATAGATGAACATGTGAAATATAATCCAAAAAGGACAAGTTGCCTTCGTTGATCGATATAATTACCAGCAGAAGCGTGTGTGCTGTAGACACTCAATGAACACAATGTTGCAGAACGAGTAGCGTAATTATCAGTCTCGTGCATGAGCCATCGAGGTAATGTACCTCGCTTCAAGGGGCACTGCTTTCAGCAATTCCATCGATCGACGACCACTACCGTCTTAAGTTCTATCCACGCTGAGAAAACGAGCTTGTCTGCTTGCCACATAAACGTGAGAATGTTTGTGGATGGATGCGAAGATTATGCGAGAGTGAAAGCGCATCGTTGGTGATGGACCGCTATCCAGCGTTCACGCTAGTCACCCAAAGTAGACTAGCGCCTCGCTTGAAGCACACCTGCCGTCTCTAATTCTCAGCTCACGAGCAGCACCTCGAACTTTCAGACTCCGACCAGCTCGACATCACGCCGCCAAAATGTCCGCCAACTCGCTGAACAAGATCGCGCCCAACAGCCCCTCGAGGCAGAACCCCTCTGAGATCGAGACCAGCATCGCCAGCGCAAGTTCACCCGTCAATTGCACACTGACGACCACGGCTAACATTTGTGATAGGCGTTGACTGACCTCGAGAACAACGTCCCCGACCTGAAGGCTTCTCTGCGCCCTCTCCAGTTCGTCTCTGCTCGCGAGGTATGAAAACCCGAACACCACGATGCGCTCTCGAGCGTCGCCTACACACACCCTATAACTGAAGAGGCGGTGGGCACTGGGCAGCAACATCATGCTGACACCAGGATTCTTAGATCGAGGTTGGCCACGGACGCAAGGCTATTGTCATCTTCGTCCCTGTCCCCCTTCTGTCCGGATGGCACAAGGCCCAGCAGCGGTATGTTGTGCTCTCGAATCGATGCAATTCGCATACTAACGGTCCTCAGTCTCACCCGTGAGCTCGAGAAGAAGTTCTCCGACCGCCACGTTCTGATCGTTGCTTCCCGCCGCATCCTTCCCCGCCCCAAGCGCTCCAACCGCTCGCGCACCACCCAGACCCAGAAGCGTCCCCAATCCCGGACTCTCACCGCTGTCCACGACGCCATCCTGACCGACCTCGTCTACCCTGTCGAGATTGTTGGCAAGCGTCTCCGTACCCGCGAGGACGGCAGCAAGATCCTCAAGGTTGTCCTTGACGAGAAGGAGCGCGGCGGTGTTGACTACAGGCTCGACACCTACAGCGAGGTCTACAAGCGCCTCACTGGCAAGGGCGTCAACTTCGAGTTCCCCCAGAGCCAGCAGACCGACTACTAGATCTAAGCGGTTCGTTGGGTTTGGTCGATCTCGTTAAATCTTCATGGGTCAGGAGTACGGCAGGGCTTCGGTTATGCGTCATGTACCGGCATCAAAAAGGAATGAGAATGAGATGACATGAGCCTGTATTAGGCACCCCTTCAAGATACCATTTGCAATTGATTTCTTTTACTGTCCGTGATGGCCTTCTTTGCCCTGACCATGGTACTATCTACTGCCTGTCCAGCTCAGGGTAATGCCTGAACACACCCATGCTGAATGGCTTCCGTCTCTCGCTCCCAAGGTACTCCTTGATCCCCTTAGTCTCCTTGACAACATCATAGAAGGCTCCGAACAAGGTCGGGTAGTCCTTCTTCCTCGCTGCTATTTCCTTTGGGAATGCAAACTCCAGTCCACTCAGCACATGCCAGACAGTAGTATCAGCATAGCTTAGAGTATCCCCAACGAGAAACTTGCCCTGTCCCTGCGCCTCGTTGCCCTTGAGCACGCGCTCGAAGAAGCCCAGAAACTTGGGAATGCGGTTATCGCGGAAGTCTGTCGCCTTCTTCACCGACTCGTCCTTCTGATCCTCGTAGTATTTCGCAACCGCGATGGGGTGGTGCGTGTCGTGGGCTTCATTGTTGAGGTCCAGCGCTGTGAGCGTGTGCGAGAGGATCCACGCTTTCTCTGCCTCGTCTGCGCCGCTGAGACCGAGCTTATCACCGAGGTAGGCGAGGATGGAGGGGGTCTGATAGATCAGCAGCGCGGCGCCGTTCTTGCCCTCGCCGGGGATGCGCAGGGCGGGTGGGGCGAAGGTGGGTGGGTTACCGTCGGAGCCTGTGGACGATTGGTCCGTGAGGGAGCTGATGACTTTCATGCCTGCATGTGTTGTTAGTTATACAGGCATATGATGCGATGGAAGCGCAAGGTGTGTACCATCTTCCGACTCATTGGCGACGTCCTTGTAGGAGACGCCGGCTGCTTCGAACGCCAGGCGGATGAACTCTCCACGTCCTGGGATACCGGGCCAGTACAGCAACTCGTATGGAGGCTGGGTGCGCGCCTTCTTGTTCGCGGACATGGCGGTAGTGTAGTGTCGAAGCGCAATTGGGCTTTGGGTATGGTGTATAGAGAGCTGTAGGAAGCTACGGGGGCTAAGGAGAGGTCGAAAGGTGGTGCGAAGCATGCAGTCGCGATGGCGGCGTTGTCAGTCCACTATAACGAGGGAAATAGAACACCATGTCAGGTTGACGTGCCATTGCCGCTCGGCGTGCTCTATGCAGCGTGTTTGGCGTCATTGTGGGGTTGTGGTTGGACTGCGAGATCGTAGATGCTGACATCAGATGCGGAATTGCGCCGAGACCGAGCAATGCGAGGACATCAGATGCAAGCCAACCCGCCAGCTGGCTTGAAGTTGTCGTAGTCACTTCACAGCAACACCAATCTGGTCACTGTGATGGCATCAATTGGCTGTTCTGTTTGTCGCTGCTGATGTCTCGCTACCTAGGTGCAGGCTCTCGGAACAGGTTCCGAAAATTGGGGGAGCTCAGCCTTCGTACAGCAGCGGCTGAGCAGGAGGGAGGCACAGGCGAACATTTACCAAGCGATTTACATACTGAACTTGTGGGTCAATTGGATTACAGTTTCGGCTCATGAACCGTACTCACTTGTTGTGCGATACCGATCGTTGGGAACGTTCATATTGCCTATCTCTCCCCTGTTTGCGCTGACAGAATGCTACCTGATAGTTAATGAGGGCACCAGTAATGGTTCTACGAGCTCCATAACAATCTCCCATTATCATGCCATCGGGCTGTGTGCTGTCAATAATGTTTCGTGTTACAGAAGGGGGCAGAAGGCGATACGCTCGCCTGTGCCCCCAATGGCCCACCGCAGCAGCTCTCATGCACGAAGAGAGCTGCGCCATGTTGCGAGGAACGAAACGTTTGCTACAAATCTACCAACACCACAGATACAAATCTTGAGGAGATTCTAGGCGCGCCACGTCTCTGCTTATCCAAATCTGTGTCTCGGTTTCAGTCCCGTTAGATCGCAACTTCCAGGAGGAATAGCCTGGAGACGTGATCGGCCGCCCTACACCGTTCAGGTCTAGACTTCCCGCCCGGACCCTCTTCCACGCCCGCTAAGTTCATCACCCAGGAGTGCTGCCTTCAGCTCATCCTACCCGCACCGAACCACGGTTGGACAATCTGTTGTTCGCCATAACAATCTCGCCACTATGTCGAGCTACAATGAATACGATCGACTCATTCATCAGATGCAATCATTTCGCGCGTCTGATGAGGCCAGAGAGCAGTTTGTTACAGTACGTGTCGCTGAGTCGCGTGTGCGGCCGCGCGACAAACACTAATCAATCAATAGGAAATTCTAGCAAAGTATCGCGAATTGTCCGAAGAGCACGCCAACTTGAAGAATGACTATTTGAGTGAAAGAGATATCAGGAGGAATTATCAGAGGACTGTGGATGAGAAGCAGGCTTTGGTGGGAGATTACACACGTCAGCTGGTGCGTTACTCGCTGTTATGTCAGCCTTGCCAATTCGCATGCTGACTTTGGCTACAGGAAGCAAGTTCATTTGTGTTGGCACTAATTGATGGGGATGGAGCTATCGTAAGTCTTTGCGAGTCCCTGAAGTTCATTATTGTCCTGTGGCGACTTTATCTCGATCCCGGCCCACATATGGTTGGCAACATGTACAGGATATGGCGACACAGACATACAGCCGAAAGAAGTGATTGCTGATTTTGAACATGCAGTTTCAAGATGCTTTACTCCAAGCCGCTGGTGCTGATGGAGGTTCAGAAGCTGCTTCCCTCCTGTATCATGCAATTCGCGACCATGTTGCTTCGTTGTACAACAGCTCAGGCAGCTGGCCCATTATGGTTCAGGTCTATCTAAGTCTCGATAAGCTTGCACAGAAGTTGGCGTCGGTTGGCCTTCTTCGGTCGCCTCAGGATCTACGAGCTTTTGCGCAGCGCTTCAGCGTCAATCAGCCCTTATTTAGTATAATCGACGTCGGTCACGGAAAAGAAAGAGCCGATCACAAAATTAAGGGTATTGCGTCTCTTCTCATCAAACTGACTGATACTAATGACGCCCTGCAGAAATGCTTCGTACCTTTAGCGACAATCCCACCTGCCGTCACATCGTCTTCGGTGGTTGCCACGACGCAGGATACCTACTAAACCTCGAACACTTCAAACACGATACCGCCAAATCCAGTCGCATCACACTTCTGGAGACCACACCTGCCTACCGCGGCTTCGCGGATTTAGCCAACTTCAAGCGTACTCGTTTCGACGACGTCTTCAAGAGCGAGCCCCTCCCTGACTACCAGCCTCCAGTGAATGGCTTCGGTCAATTTTCTGTACAGTCGCCAGTACAGGCACCAGTACAACCACTCCCACGTTCAGTCACGAACAACACCAACACATCATCACCTACGTTCACTCCGAGAGCTTCCGTCGCGTCTCCCTCACCCAGCGTAACCCCGGTCTCAGCTGCTGCGCCTGGCGAGTCGAATGGCGACTCTTCCTGGGGTAAGAAACTCATCCTGTATCGATTTCGTTAGAAGCATTGCTAACAAGTGAC